CAACTTTGCTACTAGAACTTATTTTACTTGTAGAATGGTTTACTACTCTGTGTTGTATTAGGTATAATCTAGTCTAACTTAACATCTACTGAATTAGACATTTCAACTAAACTAGCTACAAACTAGATTACAATAAAAATACAATTTTTCATGTGACAACAAAATGTCACAACTCCAACATCATGTCTATATGTGGACGGAACCAAAAAGGCCTGGGGCCATCATTTACATGATGGAAACGAAATTTGTCATTATCACTGTTAGAAGCAGGCCTAAAAGAACGAGCCATTACCCGTCTCTCACCAAACTTTCTTCTCTCATCACTACTCACATCATGAAATCCACTAGAATGAACTGGCCCACTCATACAGTCTTCCCCATCTGCCCTCTCTCAAGAATCGAACATATTTACTCTCCTAGTGCTTCTAGGAAATACCCGCCCAGGTGGGGTTATTCTATTTGAATTATCAGACCTATGATGAATATGTTCCCGTCCAGAATCATGAAGGTAGGAGATTCACGCCTTCTACCAACAATCTCGTCAGGGAACCTCATCCTCCCCATCCTACACATAGTTGGAGATCTATGATGAGGTAATTGTTGATGCCCATCAGGTGATCTCCAAGGAGATGACCATGGGCCAGGTGACTGTGTTCGGGATCTAATAGGAGATTTCGAGCGGACCCGAGAGTAATCCTTTCTCTGCAAAATAGAAAAGTTACTGTCCCCTCACACAAGCTGATCATCCACTTCAACATACATTGTTTGTGGACGAGTAAATCCAGGATCTAAAGTATCATCTGACAATTCCCGAATATACTTTTCATTATGCAGAAATCCGACCACGTCAGAACCATCTCCGTAAGTGCATCTACTTGGACTAACATTTTTAGGAATTCTACAATGCATTGGAATGCCACTCATAGCAGGACCATCTCTACCTCTGGGAGGGATTCTCATGGTAGATGGATGTTGCAACAAAGGCAAGTCATCATTCCTGGCCTTCCTTCTACCACCACTTAAAGCAGAATTATCTGGTGTCATACCATAGCCATTATAGTCAAGTTCAATGTCAGCAATGGAAGAAGCATGCTTACGTCTAGAAACCTGATATTCAGCTTTTCCATTGTAACTTTCCGGTGCAAGCTCATGGTTGGAGTCCCAATCATTGCATAACCTGTCAAACCTGCCAGATAAACTCCCTCTGAGCTATGAAACTCGGTCTCGAATTTCTCAATGTCTGGTGTTGAATCCGATCTTTCACAAATTTTTTTGGACCATCAGTAAAAATTTCATCACTGGAAAAAGGATAGAGAGGAAATAATATAAGCAAAAGTTATTAAAAAACATGGAAATAGATGAAGACACCATCAAGTAGCAGGTCACAAGATTATCACCTATTCCCGCGCAGTTGTATCTCCCCCTCCAGATCAGAGTATCTTTCTTTTCCACTTCTTGAAGACAACCTAACAGGAATAGACACTGTTTTACAAGGGGATGCAGCAATAGAAGTACGGGGTAAATTTATGATGCGGCTCTTGTTGCTTGCATTGTTGGAAGAATTAGAAGGATTCTTCTTATTATTATAACTCTTATTATCTAGAGATGCTTCAGCCTTGGGCAGAGTTAAATCATTCGTTCCTAGAGTAATTTCTTTAGTTCTCTCATCGGGGGCCTTCTCACCTAGTGTTGGCCCCTTCCCACGGCTCCCATTAGTTGCCCCTTCACCAGGCACTTCCTTTTCACCACCCTCTTTGACATGTTCTTCTCCTGAGAGATTAAGTGGTTTCTCTGGAGAGACAATATTAGAGCTTTTTTTGTCAAGTCCAACTTCTGTAATTTCGTCTGGTAACGGATTTTGCAAAGAACCATCTTCATCATCAGGCTCACTGAAACCCGTGTCAACACATCCTTAATTTGGTCGCTACTTGTTTCATCATGATTATCCAATACAGTGGCTTTTCCATCAAAATCAGAAATGTTGCAATTTTTATCCAAAGAAACAACAAAAGACTCCATATTTCTTGGATTGCACTCAACAAGTTTGATATTTTCTTCCTTCTTTCTATCAACATTTGGATCTTCTACTGTTGCATGCATTAGCTGCTCTCAAACCTCACCGTCTTCATAATCATCATCTTCTTTGTCACGTCGCCTTTTTCCAATACCCCTCCAATTGGCAAAAGCATGAATTCCATCAGATCCAAAAGTATCTGCTTCAAGCATACCGATTGGCATGTTTGTTTTTTCCTCATCACTGGCAGCTACCTTACTATTTCCACACAATTTAATAGGATGCTCATCAACCCGATTCAGTTTGCACCTTTCAGGATCTTCAGTAATCAAATTCTCTACCTTCTCACAGTGCAAACCCATTTCTTTGCCTTTCTGGCTTACAAGTTTAGGGACCACAGCATTAATCGGCTCATCTGGTATATCCTTTCTGTTGCGAAGGTTTTTAGTATGGAAAGAATCTACAGATTGATTTGATAAATACTCACTTGTGGTCGACTCTAGAAAAGTTGGCAAAAGGGAAGGGCATGAGTTCTGAGGGGTCAAAGCCATCGATAGAACAGATGAAGATGCACAGCTCTCTTGATGCTGCATAACCTTTTCAACTGATTGAGGTACGGTAGAATCTGCACATTTGCATATTCCCTTGTTGCACTCCTGAAACGGTTCAGATTTTATTGGTCTTGGGTCAACTACTTTCTCCGAGCTACTAGATGACGGTACTACTGTTTCTGAGCTGCAACTCTCAATAAGTTCCCTTTTCATCGAACTAAGCTTCGACAATTCCATTGTACTGCTAGTGCTAGTACCTACGGTACAATCACGTTTTGGATTCTCATCAACAGATTCCAATTTCACAGCTCCACAACTAGCAGAATTCATGTTCGTTGTTGATAGCTGCATTATTTGCAATTTTGAGTTTGCGCCAACCCTGACAGAGTCTACTATAGCTGATAAAGAAGAATAATCCCTACTGGAGTTTAACAGTTGGAATTTTGT